TCTCCGACTCAGGAGAGAGAGAGAGAGAAAGGGTGAAAGGAGAAGAGTGAAAGAAAATAAGGCATGAAAGAACAAAATTAAGCATAGTGCATTCAGACTATCGTAAAGTCGCTTAATTAAGTCACTTTAATTGTAATTTTTAAAAAAAATATTCATTTAAATCGCTTAATCTTGTAATTAAAAAAAACACTTTTCTGGATTATAATAAGTCTTCCCCAGAACTCTTTTAAAAGAATTTTTATCAGTTTCTTTTTCTTTTTTGGAGAATACATTTTTACGTGACGTATTCATTTTTGTTAAATATTCCAATTATTATTAGTGAGGAAACAAGAATGTTTTTGGAATGTTTTTTAATATTACTATTCAATTTGTCAAATAATGATAGAATATTGCGTTACCAAGTATTATATAACTCATTATACAACTATTCTATGGAAAGTGCATGCATGGTTTTGTCTATATGCGATATGATTTCGCAATCGTGTTAAACAAGCTCCTTCCATTCGCGAGGATTCGCTATTTCAGAGATATCGTTCAATGGATCGGAGGAACTGAGGACAATCAAAATTGATGCTAAGTTTACCGAACTCCCCCCTCGGAATCGTGCGAGCCGACCTAGTTTCTCTCTATTAGTACCGACCCTGTTTACTTTGCTAAAACAAACTTTAAAGACGATAAAGCACTTAGTTAAGCCCTTAATAAATTTAAATGCGACGTTTTATTTTTCCAGGAACGCGGATGTTGCATTTTGTCAGGTAAAGATTTATCACCTTTCTTTTTCGAGATAAGAACATTCTTTCTTTTATTATCGGCTAAATGTATGTTTTAGAAAAATTATTCAATATTCGTAACGATTGAAAAATTTAACCAGTTTGTTTTTATTTTTATAACGTTTTATGAATAAATTGCGTTATAGGTCATTACATAACAGAGATATAAAATTTCTGTGGATAGTCTAATTTCGAAAAATGGGGAACGCAAAGATGGAGCAATTCAGCAATCGCAATCCGATCCTTCTCGATGAAACGATGAAAAACCGATTTGGGGGTGCAACCGCAAAGCCTTCCCGATCGTTTATTCTTTAAATCGTCGCGACTGATACAGTGCGAAAATGTAAATGCAAAGAAAGTCCTACCCGGGATCCATCCATCTTGTTTTTGAACGCATTAGTCACGCGCACGTTGCGAAACGGGGGCGGTTGTTCCTTACCCCTCGTCGCCGACGTTGCGCGTCTCGTCTCACAACTGTTCGATTTATTAAATCAGGATTATCTAAGCCCATTACTTTGTCCCGTCGAGAGAGCTAGATACAAAACCGCATTTGTAACTCGCGTAAAGCCCTTAGGGCGGGCCCGCAGAGAGCAGCACTGATTTCCGCGGTCGTCCACCTACCCCTTCCCTCCCCTCGTCCGTAACAGATAATACCGATAGCATCTGATCTCGCCGTTGATATCGCCGCCGGGACAATTTATTATGCGAAAGATTACAGTCGTGTGACTCAGTCCTCGTCCTCGGAAGGGTGGCAAAATTCGCGCGAGTAACTTCACGCCATCAAAATTGTGATAAGATCATTGAGAATTTAAATTGTCTATAAATGTTGTGACAGCCGAATGTATAAATTATTCTTAATTAAACTGTTTAAACGTGCATAGTGGAGTTGTAAAAAAATTTTTTTATATTTTATTATATTTTATTATATATTTATATATTATGTATTTTATTATATTTTAGTATATCTTATATTTTTACTATATTTTAATTAACTAATTAAAATAATTTTTATTTTTATTCTGTTTTTTTTTTGCTAATACAAACAAAAGTTTGCGAATTTTCAAGCATCAAACATTCTTTATAATTTTTATTCCTGACTGCTGCCAACCGAAGGTTGTTGCAACAATTTTCTGTAGAATTATTTTATTAGATAGTTTTATCAAAAGGTATTTTATATCAAAAATTTTTTCACAGAGAGATGAGGAATATTCAGTTTCAGAGAAACATTTTTATATGACGATTGATTCCAAGATATAGCTGTATAGCGATACTAAAAAGGCAATAGGGAAAGTCGATAGATACAGACATCGGAAGAATAAAACGAGGGAAAGAGAACGTCAAAGACAGACATATAAAAGTAGACAAAACAGTCGGGGAAGAACCAAGGAGTGTGAATTAACGGAAAACGTAGATGTAGGTTGAAATCGGAGAAATGAAAAGAAAAGAGAAAGAGAGAAAAAGAACTGACAAGATGGGATATTCCATTGGGGGAAAAGCGAGAGAGGCGTGAGTTAGACGGTGGCACAGAGATTACGAGAGAAAGGGAGAAGGAGAGAGATAGAGGAACTGTGTATGTATAGAAACGGATTTCGATGTAAATGCGTGGAAAGGAAAGGAAACTGCGGATTGCAGTTACAGATTGCTCTCCTTTTCTCTCTCTCTCTCTCT